GTTGTAATGTGACAAAATATGGAAAAGTTCAAGGGGTATGAATACTTTTGCAAACCACTGTATATGGGCATGTATATGTATGGGTATGTATTTAGGTATGTATGTATTTGTATGGAAGTATGTATATGAAAGTGTTTGGATATGTAGGTAGGGGTATGATTGTGTATATATTTGTATAGGTAAATGGGTATGGTTTTCAGCAAGGCTTAAGTCATTATAATTATTATGCATTTTTGTTGCTGTGGTTTTGCTATCTTTGTTTTGTAGGTGTGGAGCCGAGAAGTACGGTGTGCTGTCTTGTGTTTTCTCAACATATAATTTACATATCTTCTAATCTCTTTTTCACTCTTTCTCAATGTATTTCACTTTTTTTCTTTCTTTTCTTCTTTTTCTCCAAAAAAAAAAAAAACAACGAAAATATAGCTGGAAATTCCTAAATTAGCATAAGATGCACAGGTTTGCTGAACTAAACAGAAAGAAGCTGAAATAGTCACCAAAATGTGAATTAGCTTCAGCTAATAACAGCTAAACTTTAGCTAGAATTGTATCAAATAACAACTGAAAGAAGCATAAATATCTTAATTTAGCAGAAAAAGGTACAAAAAAATAGAAAATACAAGAATAATAGCAGAAAGAAGCAGAATAGATGCTGACATAGCAGAAAAGAAGCTAAAATTAGCAGAAAAGAAGCTAAAATTAGCAGAAAAGAAGCTAAAATTATCACAGGGAAGTAAAAAAAGAGCAGAATCAGAACAAATTGTGAACAGTTGTGTAAAGATTTAGAAAGGTTGTGAAGGATTTTAAGAATGATGAAAACAGCTTCATTCATTCTTAATGAGAAAAATGTGGCTGAAAAAAATGAAAAAGCTAAAATAATTAAAAATAGCTGAAATACCAAAAGTCATAGCTGGAATGTCCTGAAGGAGCTGAATGTTTTGATCTATGAAATGTTAAAAAAGCACAAAAATGTGGAACAAAAAGTGTAGTTGTGTGTTTGTGAAACATTTTCACAACAATATAAAGTGTGTCTGAAGTCGACTCCAGCAGAATAAATCAGAAACATGTCGGCTGAGGATTTAGYTTCTTAAAACCCTCAGAAATGAAGGATCTGATCAGAAACCGGATCAACTTGCAGAAGATTTTTAGCTTCAGCTCAGTTATTCTGTTTCACTGGAAATAAAAAGAATAAATTGTGTGTGTGAGTGCAGCTGATCAGCAGACAAACCTCTGGCTGCTGTTTGTTGTGGCAGCGCTCGTGTGCGTGCACGTTCAGTCATCTTATTGGCCTTATTGAATCAATTAGCACCGGGGGGCTGCTGCTGATTTAATTAGTGACCCAGATAAAGTTGAAGTAATTACTGAATGTCATATTTGTGAGCTGCTGTCCTGTCTCTGCCGTCGATAACCAATCATCAGGCCCGATCGTATGAAAGATGAAGCTCCGCCCACCTGTTTGTTGTTCTGCGTCCTGGGGCCRTTATTCAGGATTGATTGTTTTAGTGCTGTAATAACCTGCTGGTATCGATGGTTCTGTTCTGGTTTCCTGTGGGTCTAAGCCGTCCTGCAGCCTCCCAGTGTCCAGGTGTGTCCTCACCTGTCTGCTCTGCTTCCTGTCAGTGTGGGAACATGGCCAGAGAGGGYCTGAGGACCCTGGTGGTGTCCAAGAAGTGCCTGTCTGAGGAGCAGTACCAGGACTTCGAGGTACAGATGAGCTCTTCTGGGTCAAAGGGGTCAAAGTCATGGCCCGCGAGCCAGACGTGGCCCACGTGCTYGTGTTTTGTTGTGAACTGACTCCCTCCTCTTCCTCGCCTCGTGTCGGATCAGAACCGGTACAACCAGGCCAAGCTGAGCATCCACGACCGCGCCCTGAAGGTGGCGGCGGTGGTGGAGAGTCTGGAGAGGGACATGGAGCTCCTGTGTCTGACCGGGGTGGAGGACCAGCTCCAGGCAGACGTCAGGCCCACGTTGGAGCTTCTGAGAAACGCCGGCATCAAGGTGGGTGCCGGGGTCTGACCCGCCTCCGCTCCGGATCCAGGATCTGATCCTGTTTCTTATGGTTCTGCTCAGATCTGGATGCTGACTGGAGACAAGCTGGAGACGGCTACGTGCATCGCCAAGAGCTCTCATCTGGTCTCCAGGAACCAAGACATCCACATCTTCAGACCGGTGTGTAGTACTGGACTCCACAAGTCCACTGTGGGGGCGAGGGTGTCACGGTTCCTGAGGATAATTGTGTTGTGTGTCTCTTGAGCAGGTCTCCAACCGAGGAGAGGCCCATCTGGAGCTGAACGCCTTCAGGAGGAAACACGACTGTGCTCTGGTCATCTCTGGAGACTCTTTAGAGGTACTTCACCTGAGAGCTGCTTCCTGCTGCAGCCGGGGGTCCAAACTGATGAACGTCAAAACAAAGAGACGTTTAAATCAGCCAAACTGATCCTAAACTCCACCCGTCTAAACCTGATCATCTGTTTAAATCAGCCAAACTCATCCTAAACTCCACCCGTCTTGATCTGATCGTCTGTTTAAATCAGCTAAACTCATCCTAAACTCCACCCGTCTAAACCTGATCATCTGTTGAAATCAGCTAAACTCATCCTAAACTCCACCCGTCTTGATCTGATCATCTGTTTAAATCAGCC